GGGGGGGGGGGGGGGGGGGGGGTGTATGTGTGTGGGTGTGGGTGTGTGGGTGTGTGCGGGTGTGGGTGTGCGCGTGGTGTTTAGGTTTCTGTCTGCCCCCTTCCCCCCCTTCCCCCCCTCCCTCTCTGCAGGTTTTCCTTCTGTCAAGTTTTCATGCTTCGATTACATTCTTGTGTTCAATACGGTTCGGTTCCACCCAAGCACTCACGTGTCATGTGGTGTTCATGTTGGTAGCTACATGTGGCGGGTGCTATGGTGTGGCTTTGTCTGTGCCTGTCTGCCTGTCCTTCTGTCATGGGTGTGGGACTTATACGTGTGGGTCAGTCAAAAGCAAAAGGTGTTGGAAAAGGAATGGCCGCGGCCTCAGCCATGTCGTCAGACAGACAGACAGTCAGACAGACCGACAGACAGGCAGACAGGCAGACAGTCAGGCAGGCAGGCAGACAGTCCGCCACGCAGGTAGTCACCCACGTCCCTTGTGCGACGTGTGTTTCCCTCCTCCCGACATACATGCCGGTCAGCCTTGCATCCCACCTCTAGAGTTGCAGGCAGTCAGACCGTCGCTCATGCACATGCATTCCAGAGGCACGCGCGCATCCAGCCAATCACTACCGGTACAGGCAGGTTGGTGCCACGTCAGTCCATGTGTGCATGCAAAAAGGATGGGTCAATCGGACGAGCTACGGATTGGTCCTCTCTGTGTGGCTGTGTGTCGTGTCGTGCTCTCAAGAGGTAGTCGGGTACATGGGCCATCCATTCAGTCCACAGAAGAGCGAGAGCATAGCATACGTGGGCACACCCAGACCGATCACATCTACAGAGCATAGCCAGCCATTCAGCCCGCATTCCGGCACATCCAAGCCATAGTCAGTTCGCACACCTAGGCACATCCAACCCATGGTAGGTTGACACACCCCAGCACGTCCAAGCCATAGTTAGTTGACACACCCAAGCACATCCAAGCCATGCCGGTAGGTACACAATCACGCCAACGAGAGGGGAGGGGGCGGGGGGGGCAGGCAGGCATATGTGGTGCCTGGTTCTTAGTGTTGCCTGTCTACACGGCCGGACAAGAGGTCATCCTGTCCCCCCATCCCTCTATCTAGTTGTCTCCCCCTCCATCGCTAGCCATCGTTCGGGGGCGATGGGCTAATGTCCGATCCCTCCTGCACCACGCCCTTCTGCTCCCCGCTGTTCTTATCCGCCGCGGCTGTGAGTTCCTCACCCCCTCCTGTCGCAGCGTTGGCCTGGTCGTCCGCCGGGTTTGTGTCGATCATCTGCTGCTGCTCCTTCTTCTTCTTCGCAAAGTCCACTACCGCCGCCGTCAGCGCCGCCCCCTCCAGTTCCTGGGCTTCTGCTCAGGCTGGGCTGCCCGTTGCTGGGAGGGTGTGGTGGTCTGCTGGGCCGTCGCGCTTCAATTGTCGCGCCTGGCGGCATGCCATAGAAGGCGTACGGCGGGTAGCCACCCCACCACTGCTGTGCTGCGGCCGGGGTGGGGGCGTGTTGGCCAGGGGGCGCCTGGTGGTTGTGGGTGGTGGTGTTCATGTCCTCACCCCCAGCCACGCCCATCCCCGTCCCGTCCACCCCTATCACGCCCGTCCATGGCATGTACAAATACATCGGCACCACCCCCTGTTGCTGCTGCTGCTGCTGCTGCTGCTGCACCTCGCTGCGGGCCTTCTGCCGTCTCTCCCCGTCCTCCGTCTCGTCCGTCTCGCCCGGTGGCGGCAGCGGCCGCTTCAATGGGCTCCTCAGGGTGGGGATGGTGGCAGCAGCGGCAGCGGTCGCAACGTCGGTCTCGGTGGCGGTGCCGAGGGCGGGGTTGGTGTTGTTGGTCGGCTCGGCGCCGGTCTGGGTGGCGGTGGTGGGGGCGGGGTGGGTGCCCATGGTTGTTGCCCTCCCTTGGATGAGGTCGATGTGAGCGAGGGAATTGAGCTCCTGCTCCTCTGTCAGCCCTGACGTCGGCTCGTCCCGGCGTGTGTCGTAGGCCGCGAAGATGGCGATCCGCTGGAAGGTGATGTGGGCCCCCCGCTGCTCACTCCCGCCCTGCTCGGTCTCGAAGTTGTACACCACGGTCGTGATCCGCCCCCTGCGCTCTATCTCCTCCCGTTTCTCCGGCGTCTTGTACGACTCCGGCCCCTCGTTCCCTCTATGGTCGGTCCGCATGGTGAACACCTGCCCCACCACCATCCCCTCGGCGACGCGCCAGTCGTGGAAGCGCAGCGATGCGTGGCTGCCGTACACTGTCGTCACCACCCTCAGGGCTATCTGGAGGGCGTCCTGGTGCGTCCACACCTCCCGTGGTAGCGGCGGCATCGCGCCCCCCTCCTGGATGGTGACGATGCTGCCGATGGTCACCGCTATCTTGTCGTCTAGGTCGGTGATGTGGTCCATGGGGATAACGGTGAGGCGCACGGTGGTGTGGGCGAGCCCCACCGCTTGGGCGCCCTGCACCTCAGCGCCGCCGTGGGGGATCTTGCCGTGGTATACGAGGTCGATTTTGCTCTTGGTCTCCGGCAACTCAGCCTGCATCAGGGGAAGGGAAGGAAAGGAGGGGTGGTCCGTAGGCGTGGTCTGAGCGTTATTCTCGTGTGCGCGTCTGTGTGCAGTGGTGTCGGCTTATGTTGGAGTACCCGTGGCTTTCGTAGACTCTCAGGTTGGTCAGCTTCTTGTGCCATCCAGTCTGGATGGACTCAGGCGCCCACTGCAGCTCGAGACGCGTGGTCTGGTCCTCTAGCACGCCATCTATGCGCGGCTGGTTGGGCAGCACACGCCCGCCGACGAGTGGTGCGGTGAGGATGGTGGTCTTCCCCCGTCGCTTCCACTCGAACATGCCGGTGGAGCACATCGCGAGTTTGTTCTCGGGGATCTCGGTAATGGTGTGGTATGAGGGGCCGTAGCTGCAGTATGTGTGGGTGCGGCCGAGCTTCTGCCGTCCGATGGTGGTCTCATGCAGCACGCGGCGCTGTACAAACCCGAGGGAAAGGTCCGACCGGTGGCACCGGTCGGTCTTGCCGGTGCCGCGCAGCAACATCTCTTATCTCTTGCCTGAGAGGTTGTGGGGCAA